GAATTCCTTCTCAGGCATTTCCAAAGCCTGCCCATCTTCTAGTATGGAGTGTAGGTCTCCTTCCAGCTCATTTGCCTCAGTCACTTTATCTCATTTCTGGACATGTGCAGATATGGTCATCTACTTCTGTTTTTTCAGGCATATTCAGGGGTTATCTGTGGCCTTAATACTTAGATGGTTATGTATTTTGGTATTTTTGGTGCTTTCTAATTGCCTCCAGGTAGATGTGATCAGGAAATGGGGGTCCCTTTTCACTTTTCTTCTTGAGAAATTTCAAGATGCCAATGTTGGTCGTTGTGAAGTAACTTAGGATTTAATTTTTGGCTTATTTTCTTTTGTCTGCTTGTTCCGCTCCACAATCCCCATTCAGACCTTTTTTCTTTTTGGAAACAGTTCAGGGCCGGCTGTGGCCGTTTGGTTTTACTTGGAAACTGTCTCTTTAAATTTTGAGGAGATCTGTGCACATGCATAGTAGAACCCGCCAAGGGTGGGGCTGAGGTGTCCCCAAGCTCAGGCACCCCTATAGTCACCAGAATGGAGGTGTGCAGACAGCAAGGGACCAATGAACAGATACCAAAAGAAAAGAATGTCCACACTTTTATCTCTGCGGTTCTGCCAGGCGTCTGTGGCTGCTCCAATCCTTCCCCGCTTGGTCTCACCCAAGATGGCGGCTCCTGGAGCAGCTGAGCATCCTGGACTAGAAAGCAATGGATTTCTTGCTTCTGCCACAAACTCCCCCAGCTGTAAGCCTTCCAACCTTCTAAATATTCCTTTATATGTGGTTCATTGTTCTGGGACCATCCCCTGAGTTTGCTTGGTCATGTATTCTGTGTTATTGCTGGTGGAGCACCTTACTGCACTTCCGCCCAATCTGCCATCTTTTTTGTTCTCTCTCTCTCTTTTTATTTAAGGCACCCTAATGCAACCAAGACAAGTATATTACTGTCTTAGCTGTCTGAAACTTGTCTGTAGCCATCCACTAATCACAGAGTCATATTTTATTTGGAGTAAACCTTTGAATAAATGAACTTGGTAGGAACCCTGGTAGCAAAACTTTTATAGATTAGTTTGGATGTGAGTTCTGGCAGCTCAAGCATTTTCATGCAATGAAGATATTTGTTTCCTAATGATGCCTGCTTCTTGCATATTACGGTGAAGAGTTATGGACATTGGGATATGGTTTCTCTTTAAACATTAGCTTTATAATTCATTTATTTATTCGATACTTAATATGTATTTTTGTGGGTTTTCTTTAGGGATTTTTAGCACCTGGAGAAATTGATCCCCTGAACCGTAGATTTTCTACTGTACCAAAGCCAGATGTTGTGGTTCAAGGTATATATTTTTTAATTTCCAGTAGCAGAATCTTTAGACTAAATGTCTGATTAGGGGCACACATCTTTGGGTGAGTACATTTTGGTTTTATTTTTTATCTTGAATTTTGCTAGGCTTAAAAAAGTACCTCATGAGCTTGGTTTGGTTTAATTTAAAAATTGTAATTATTTTGTATTCACATGATATTTAGCATTTTTCAAAGTGCATAGAATTGTATAACACAAAGAGTAAACCATAATGTAAACTGTAGACTTCAGTTAATAATACTGTATCAATATTGTGTCATGAATTTTAACAAATATACCACAAGAATGCAAAATGTTAACAGGGGAAACAACATGCTCGATGTATAAAATAAATGGGAACTCCAGACTTTCTGCACAATTTTTTTGTTTGAACTTTTTATTGTAGTTTTGATGAAAGTTTACAAAGCAAATTAGTTTTCCATTCAACAATATACACATTTCATTTCTTGACATTAGTTGCAATCCCCTCTATGTAACAGCACTCTTCTTACTACCTCCCTGGGATTCCGATTTCCATTCATCCTTCTTTCCTGCAATTCTTGCCTTATAAACTTTGTTTTAAGACTGCCCTTTTGGTCTTGTATGGCTGATTATACTAAGAAGTACATTGTTCCCTGCTGTTATTATTCACTTTATGTTGTTAAGTGTCATTGAGTCAGTTCTGACTCATAACAAACCTGTATAGGATTTCCAAGGAGCATCTGGTGGGTTTGAACTGCCGACCTTTTGGTTCACAGTCCAGTGTTGATCCCACAGTGTCACACACCGGCCTGACTATTGTTTGACTGAAAGTCGATCCATAAGGGTGGGATTAGTTCCAGGATTGAGGGGTGCCTAAGGCCCACAGTCTACGGGTGTTCCACCAGTTTTTGTCAGACCAATAAGCTTGGTTTTTTTTATGATTTTCAAATTTTGCTCTCCTTTTTTTCTCTCCCATTATGACCAGGACTTCCTCTTGTGATCCCAATCAGAGCAGTAGTAGTAGTCAGGCACTAGTTCTGATCTCAGAGTAATGGAGGCTGTGGTTTGCATAATCTAGTCTATTAGTTATTAGATTTTCTTTGAGTCTTTCATTTTTTTCACTTCTAATTGTTCCAGACCACCACTCATCTGTCAGTTTGTCATACTCTGGTAGCTTGTGTGTTGCTGTGGTTCTGGAAGCTATACCACAGGTATTTTGAATGCCAGGAGGGTCACCCATGGTGGACAGGTTTCAGATGAGCTTCCAGATAAAAACAGACTAGGAAGAAGGAGAGACAGACTACTTTAGAACATTTAGTCACTGAAAATCTTATGAATAGAAGTGGAACACTTTCAGCCCCATATTATTGAACATTGAAACATTATGAAGAGCACCAGAATATTGTCAGATATACTGCAGGAGGATGAGACCCTCAGGTTGGAAGACATTCAAAATGTGCCTGGGGAAGAGTTACCTCCTCAAAGTAGAGTTCACCAAGATGATGCAAATGCAATAAAGTCCTCAGTACCTTATTTTGCTGATAACTTCAGTTCAAAATGAAGAGAAACAACTGTAAACATCCATAAATAATTGGAACATGAAATTGTAAAAAATGAAATGAAGCATATAAACATTGATATCCTAGGCATTAGTGAGCTGAAATGGACTGGTATTGGCTATTTTGAATCTGACAATCACATGGTTTACTATTCTGGGAATGACAAATTGAAGAGGAATGGTGTCGCATTCATCATAAAATAAAAAAAAAAGAAAAAAAGAAAAACCTTATCAATATCTGTCATGAAGTACAACGCTGTCTGTGATAGGACAATATCCATATGGCTCTGGTAGCGTAGTGGTTATGAATTGGGCTGCGAACCACAAGGTCAGCAGTTTGAAACTACCAGCAGTTCTATGGGAGATAGATGAGTCTATCTGCTCCCATAAAGATTTACAGCCTCGGAAACCCTGTTCAGGGTTGCTATGGGTTGTAACCGACTCAACGGCACTTAACAACAACAACAACAAGGAAGACCAATTAATACCACTATTACTCAATTTATACACCAACCACTAAAGCCAGTAATGAAGAAATTGAAGAATTCTGCCAACTTCTTCAGTCTGAAATTGATTAAATATGCAATCAAGATGGATTGATAATTACCGGCTATTGGAATGCAAAGGTTGGAAACAAACAGGAAGGATCAGTGGTTGAAAAATATGGCCTTGGTGATAGAAATGACTCATGATAGAATTTTACAAGACCAATGACTTTTTCACTAAATAACATGAAAGATGACTATACACATGAATCTCACCAGATGGATTACACAGAAATCAAACTGACTATATCTGTGGAAAGAGACACTGGAAAAGCACCATATCATCAGCCAAAACAGGGCTAAGGGTAGACTATGGAACAGACCATCAATTGCAGATGTGTAAATTCAGGTTGAAGCTGAAAAATATGAAAACAAGTGCATGAGAGCCAAAATATGACCTTGAATGTATCCTACCTGAATTTAAAGATCATCTGAAGAATAGATTTGATGCATTAGACACTAAAGACTGAAGACCAGAAGAGTTGTGGGATGACATTAAGAACATCATATAGGAAGAAAGCAAAAGATCATTAAGAAGACAAGAAAGAAGGGAAAGACCAAAATGGATGTCAGAATAGACTCTGAAACTTGCTCTCCAGCATAGAGATGATAAAGCAAATGGAAACAGTGAGGAGGTATAAGAGCTGATCAGAAAATTTTAAAGGTCAGCTCAAGAAGACAAAGTCAAATATTATAACAAAATGTGCAAAGACCTGGAGTTAGAAAATTGAAAGGGAGGAACACATTCAGCATTTCTCAAGCTGATGGAACCAAAGAAGAAATTCAAACCTCAACTTGCAGTATTGAAAGATACTATGGGCAAATTATTGAATGATGCAAAAAGCATCAAAAGAAGATGGAAAGAATACACAGAGTCACTGTACCAAAGAAATGGTCTATGTTCAACCATTTCAACAGGTAGCATACAATCAAGAGCCAATGGTGCTGAAGGAAGAAGTCCAAGGTGTATTGAAGTCATTGGCAAAGAACACGGCACTGGCAACTGATGGAGTACAAATTGAAATCTTTCAAGAAAATGAGGCAGCACTAGAGGCACTCACCCATCTATGCCAAGAGATTTGGAGGAAAGCTACCTGTCCAACTGACTGGAAGAGATCCACATTTATGCCCATTCCAAAGAGAGGTGACCAAACAGAATTCTCAAATTTTTGGACATTATCATTGATATGCCATGCAAGTAAACTTTTCCTAAAGGTAATCCAAAAATGGCTGCAACCATACATTGACAGAGAACTTCCAGAGGGTCAAGTCAGATTTAGAAGAGGACATGGAACAAGGGATACCATTTTTTACATCAGATGGATCTTGACTGAAAGCAGAGAATTCCAGAAAGGTGTTTATCTGTGCTTTATTGACTATTCAGAGGCTTGCAGTTGTGTGGATCGTTACAAGTTATGGACAACATTGCAAAATATGAGTATTCTAGAACACTTAATTATGCTCATGAGGAATCTGTACATAAAGCAAGAGGCAGTTTTTCGAACAGAACAAGGAAACACTGAATGCTTTAAAATTAAGAAAGGTGTGTGCCAGGGTTGCATTCTTTCATCATATTTCTTCAATCTGTATGCTTAACAAATAATCTGAGAAGCTGAAATATATGAAGAAAAATGTGGCATCAGGTTTGGAGAAAGACTTATTAACAACCTGCAAAATGCAGATGTTACAACATTGCTTGCTGAAAGTGAAGAAGACTTAAAATACTGATGAAGATCAAAGACTACAGCCTTTGTTATTGTTGCATCTCAATATAAAGAAAATGAAAATCTTCACCATTGGACCAATAAACAGCATCCATATAAATGGAGAAAAGACTGAGATTTTCAAATACTTCATTTTGCTCAGATCAACTATCAACACTCATGGAAGCAGCAGCCAAGAGATCAAACAACATATTGCATTAGGCAAACTGCTTCACAAGACCTCTTTGAAGTATTCAAGAGCAAAGATGTCAGTTGGAGGACTAAGATACTCCTGATCCAGCCATGGTATTTTCAATATCTTAATATGCATGTGAAACTTAGACAGTGAATAAGGAAGACCGTAGAAGAATTGATGCATTTGAGCTATGGTGTTGGAGGAGAATAGTAAAAGTACCATGGCCTGCCAAAAGAACAATCACTTCTGTGTTGGAAGAAGTACAGCCAGAGTGCTCCTTAGAAGCCAGAATGGCTAAACTTCGTCTCTCATACTTCAGACATATTAACAAGGGGGACCAGTCACTGGAGAAGGGTATCATGTTTGGTAAAGTGCAGGGTTGGAGAAAAAGAGGAAGATCCCCAATGAGATGGATTGGCACATTGACAGCAGCGATGTGAGGTTGGCCCAGAACTGGACAGTGTTTTGTTATGTTGTGCATATAGCATTGCTATGAATCAGTACCAACTCGATGGCACTTAACTACTATGAATAATAAGTGCTCCAGATGGGGAAGAGAAGAGTAATAGCATCTTAGGTGACCACTCATATGTTTTTAAAATTGTAGTTAGTACTCACCAAAGTAGGATGTAGAATATTGGCTTTGTGGACTATGTTATATCAATTGACCTAGATGTCCATGGAGACAGTCTGTACAATTTTCCTGTAAACCTAAAAAGGCTGTAAGAAATCAGATCTTTAAAAATACATACATAAATACTATACTAAAAAAATAGTAATTTTAATCATGAGCAAATAATAATATAGTGTAGGTAGTATCAGAGGATTTCAAAATATTAACCACGCCTAACTTCTTGAAACTCTTTTCTTTGAATTGTTATGACATTGTAGCATCCTAGTTATGGTTGGTTTCTCCCTGTTTATTCCTTCTCTGCCTTTTCTGGCTCTACTCTTTTATTCTCATATCCTTACAATGATTCTCTACTTGGGGTTTTAGACTTTTTGTTTTCTGTCTTGTATTTACTCCCTCAATAAATTTCCTTCAATAACTTTAATTATGACCTCTTTGGAGAATGCTGCAAACCTTTGTTTTTATTCATAATAATCAACTTAATTTTGTGGGAATCTACTATTTACAGTGACTCCTGGTGTGGTGCTGTAGGGTAAGCATAGGACTTCTAACTACAAGGTCAGTGGTTCAAACCTACCAGTTGCTCCTTGGAAACCCTGTACATTGTCACTATGAGTAGAAACCAACTCCATGGCACTTAACAACAACTATTTATAAGACAGTGAACTGAGAACTCCACATACATTTTGAATCACAATACCTATAAAACACCTTTACCACTGATAACTTCGAAACTGACCTCTTTTGTCTGTATCCTATCCTTTTGCCTCTCCTAAAATATACAGATTTCCTTATATTTATTATATATATTTCTT